CGTTTTTTTTTTCATTTATATATTTTACTTATTTACACAGAAGCTGAACAAAAGCTAATTAAGCACATCCTTTCCTAATTTAAATTAATGAAAATATTAACAAACATTTTCATATAGTCGAATATTGCCCCATGTTTTTCGAATTAAAATTCGATGTTCTCGTTGTTCCACTGCTGTGATTGCAAAAATAAGAAGCAATAAATTAGGATATTTCTGTGAACAAAAATTCTTATCAATTATTTTCCATTGATAAGCATATCGATTATAAAGTTCCTGTAAAAAAAAAACAAAGGAAAAAAAAAAGTTTTTGTAATTTTTATAATTATAATTGCTTAAAGTTGAATACAATGATTTTAAAGATAATTTTAGTTTTTAATAAATTCTAAAATTTGACATTTATCCTCAAATTACTATAACAAAATTTTTGAATAAGGAAAAAAAAAACAAAACAAAAATATATCACCATATTATTGGAACAATTGAATGTATTAATTGCTTCAGTACTTGTCTTGAGTTTACCATTCTCGAGTGTTTCAGCAGATAATAACTTTGACGAAATTGTAACCATTCCAAATTTAATTTTCACGCTACTTTCTGATGTATTGTCACCATCCTTCCATCGTAATTTTTGATGAATTATTGAAGTTTTTAGTGGTATTAATTTATAAAATATAAAGTTAATTGTTAGCAGAACTATGATAGATAAAAATAATGATAGTATCACAGATTTCATACTATTTATAATACATATGTTAATTTTCATTAGAATTGATAATTTCTGTTTGAGGCGTTTTTGTATCAATGAAGAAAAAAAAAACGCCAAAGAATGAATAAGCAGTAATAAGCAATAAATTGAATAATCAATGAAAACGATTAATCATATCTGAAACGAAGAATAAAAGATTATCAAAAGATAGCCATTGCTTGCATCATATTTTGTAAAATTTTAAGTATGATAAAAATATAAAAATGACAATTGATTGTTCCAACAATTCTAAATATTTCTCATACGTTGCAATCAATTTGTTAGCTTTTATGTGAAAATAAAATAACTATTAATTTTTATGATGAAAAAAATATTGAAATAACAATTAACAAAAGAATTATCTCAGTTAAATCATAACATTTCAGATGATTAAAAATTGAAATTATCATTTTATTTGAGAGCAATTTACAAATAAATGATTGTTATTGATAACTGAAAGCTCTGAAAAAGTGATTTTTATTTCACTTTTGAAAAAGTTTTTATTGTTTCCCAGCTAAAAAATTCACAGCATACGCTAAAATACAATGGGAAACATTGTTATGTCTGCAAAATAACGGAAAATTTTCATAACAAAATCGTTCAATTTTATAATTCAGCATTTTTTATATTACAACTTAAATACAAAATAGAATTGATATACCATAATTTAAAATTTTATGCCAATAATTGCTTAAAGTTTAGATTTTACAATTTGATCGTATATTGAATTGAAATAACTTAAAACTGTACCTACCGATCAACTTGCTATCTCCTGCATTAATGATCATATCAATGTTATCGGATGTGTTATCAGTTCAGTTTATGCCACAGTTATTTTCTCATCTTATTTCATAAACGTTCACGTACGTGCTGCTAATAGTTATTTCTCTCTAATGTTGCTATCTCCATCTAATTATTTTGCTTAACAAATCTTTTGTTTTACTGTAGGTCATTGTCATAACCTTGCTAAGGTCAAATCCTTTAAAGTCTATGTCAGTTCTTACCTAATGATATCATATCTGTCATCTTGTACTACCTCGAGATAAAATATATATTTAATCTTCAGTTTATTTCTTTAGAAAGCTTTTCAAGGCTAAAATGACAATTGGCTTATTGGTGATAGATTATTGCAAAAGGATAAAACAAACGAATCACTGCTGCGATTCATTTGAGAAGCCGAGAACAATTCAAATTCAGTTTTAAGAGTTCATAAGTCAACATTGATTATGAATTAATAAAAATAAAAAGAGATGTGGCAAGTGGAAGAGATCAACAAACAAATTTATTTTTTGGTTAGTGTGTGACACATCGTGGTGACACATGATTTGGTTGAATAATGCAACAAAGCTGCTTAATGATAAGAGATGTTAATATGACATGAATGATAAGAAGAATAAATAAAACTTATCATAGTGAAAATTCTCATTAACAATTCTCATTGAAATGTCGTTAATAAGTGGCATCTAAATTATAAAACTTTTCAAATGTAAATTTTAAGTGTATTTTTAACTTCAATGTATTTTTTATCCGTCAAGAAAGGATCTACAGTTTGTTAAAACGAGATGCTCTCCGTTCGATGTGAACAGGTATGATAATATGCAGATTGAACTGTTTTTTATTTTTCATTTTAATATTTCGATGAGCGAATTTTTCAAAGTCTTTTTGAATAGACTGTAAAAGCATAGGAAAATGATTCAATAACCAATTTGTATGAAAGTTTTTTTTTGCATTATCGGTGACATTGAAGAAACAGAGAGTACATTGGAATGTTTTAAACTAATTATTTTCACTTATCTATTCTTTATCAACAAATTGCCGTAACCTAAAGCAAATTCAAATTTAAAATAGCATTGTCGGATAATATCGGATTGCAAATCTTTCAGAGAATTTAGTAAAAGCAGCACTTATCGTAAGAATATTTCCTGAAAACTGATATTAACACAGCAAAATTATTGGTTCTTGAGAAATCGTCAATACTGAGGATGATTAACAAATCATTCAATGAAACAACAGATAGAAATGATGAAATGAGTTATTAAAAGGTCAAAGGTAGATTATTACTGCTAAAGAAATTTTTATTATAAAACCAACACAGCAGATTTCCCCTATTGGACATTCATTTTTCCTTATTGTATATTCATTTTCTTAGTTTTTTTTTTTCCTTTTTTTTAAAAAAAAAAAAATAATAACACCATCATCTATTTTTAGCTTCAAATTGTGGGATGTTATAAAAATTTAATCAATAAAAGTTATTATCGAGTAACGTTACAGAATAACGACAACTTAAATTTGTCGAATTGTCACATTCTGTAAACAAAGATTAGTTGCATTGCTTAACATGTTAAAAATTAATTTCAATTTTATTGTTGCTAGATTTTCCAATCTGATAGTTGAGCTTATATTCAATTGTTAGCTTTTTGTTTAATTCACTTTTTTTTTGTTATAAACCATTTATACTTACAATGTTGAAATATTATAGTATTATCTAATGTTCCTCTTATGTTTTTTTTTTTACAAAACAACAACGATATTTAGTAAGAAACTTTCAATTTCTTCCGATATTGAAAAAAAAAATTTTTTTTTAATATTAAAAAAAAAAAGTTTCCACTACATAAAGCATAAAGATCATCCGAGAATGACAAATCTTTATTTACTATAATTATGCGTTTTGTTGTGAGTCAGTACTAAGTAAGAAGTTCAAAGCATTAAAATTTTAAACTTCGATTCCAATTGCTGCTCATAGCACTAATTGCTCAATTAATTCAGAACCATCAATTTGACTGTTAGTATAATTTAATATTTCCTTTGTTCATTTATTATCGTATATGCTTGTAAAAGAATAAAGCTATTGTCAACATTATGAATTTATGACAATGACAACAACAATGACACTTAGTTAAGAAACTTTCCCCAAGGATTTCAATTTCTTTCGATATTGAAATGTTAATTTTGTTGATGCAAACTGCTGAAATCAACAGATTAAAACTTTCTCATAACTCTTTCATCTCTTCGTTCTATTGGTTTTGCTTCATATTGCACAACCTGTTTCTACCCTTTTCCGTACAATTTCCAATAACTTACGTGAATTAATAAAATAATCAATAGTTTCACGTACTACACTTTTTCTTATACTTAAGTTGCATAACTTGCAAATACGATTTTATTGTTTGAAAATTCGACTGGAAATTCTTTTGAAACATAACAAACCTTTAAACGGAAGCATACCATTCCCAAAGTTCGTGGTACGAATAGTTCAAGCAGTTGATCTTCTTGGATGAATGCTTCGAAGTTCTTTGCCAGGTCAACCATCTGTCATTTAGGATGATTGTTATAAAATTATTAACAACTGAAAGGAAGGAAGAAATTGACCTTTCAGAAGAATAAATGAATCATATAGAAGTGAAAATTTTAAGTGAAACCTTTCTTAAATGCTTCTGCAATCCAGAAATGCCAAAATTTCGTAGCACAAACCATACTTTCAATGATCGAAATCTTCTTCCAAGAGCTATTTGAAAATGCTAAAATTATAATTTAAAAAGCATCGTTGAATTTAATCTGTTTTTCTTTACAATACTTCCTTTAAATACAGTCAATGCACTGTTGAACCTTTAAAGGACATTTAAAATTGAATTTTAAATTTAACTCTTCCAAGCAATTACTATCAGTTAGAATATGTAAAAGAATATATAAAAGCTTAGTTGTGTTCCGTGATAAAATCTTAATAAAAGTGGCAGTAAAACACAATAGCTAAGAGCTTTTAATAGATAATAAGTAAATTATGATTTTGGCTAAAACATATAATAAAAAAAATATTATTTGTAAAGCTATTCTTATTCTTTTCTTTTTTCAAATTACAAATAAAAAGACACTTAATCTGAAATCTCAAACATTACTCTTTTATATTTCTTATTATCGTAAACTGTAAGATTGAAAAGAGAAATTACTCGATAATCAATTGCACAAGTTTGATTATATTTTAAATAGATCGGATATTTTTCATATTGACATGAATGTAGCAATCAAAACAATTAACTTTGGTTTCTTTATTTGCATATCGTTCTATCATTATAGCTTCGTTCAAGCTGAACTTATATTTATCATTTAAACTGATAAAACTTTTCAGATGTGGATTTTAAGTGCATTTTTTATTTAAATGTATTTTTTATCCGTCAAGGAAGGATCTACAATTTATCAAAACGAGACTGTTCTCTGTTCGATGTGAACAGGTATGATAATATGCAGATTGAACTGTTTGATGAAACGAATCTTGAAATGTTGCAGTCAAAAACATAATAACATTCATGTTCGAAGGTCTGTTATTCATCTCTTTTTTTTTTTTTTTCAATTTAAAGTGAAAATTTAAATATCGTTAGTATGATGCTTATTAGAATCATTTCTGCATTTCTCATTTCTTTTCATTCACATTAATAAATGCATCCAGTAATTTTCAATTCTAATTATATTATTTAGCATAAGATATGCAATAAGTAAATATAAGATAATGGTTCTTAATTCTCGAACATGACGTAGTTGCAGTAATGAAAAACACGTGGTGGATGTGGTCGTTGGTGGCGGTGGAATTGCTGGTACTTCGATTGCATATCATTTGGCGAAACGTGGCAAGATGGTTGCCTTGCTTGAGCGAAATCGGTAACATTTGTAATGTTCCAAAGCAGTTTTTTTTTTTTTTTCATTCAGCTACTTTCTAAAAAAGAAAACAAATTTTTTAAAAATATATAATACCTTAAGTGTTGGCCAGTATGGTGCAACGAGTGTAAGTGCTGGCCTGGTAACAGCTCCATTGCACTGGCAAGATCCGGCTAAACAATATATGGCCAAACATTCATTGGATTTATATGCCAATTTACGTCAAACTTCCAATTTCAGTTAATGTGAACTCCTCTGTTACCATTCTGTTGAATATATAGCTATTCTATTCATTTCTTATCATAAACTTTCACTAAAGTTTTCCGTTTTTTTTTTTTTTCTTTTTTTTTTTTTGTAAAAATTTTATTTTATAAGCTTATTTTAACTGAATACTTAGGATACAGCCGCTGTGGTCGACTATATTTAACGAATACGCCAGAAGGTGAAATAAGCTTGCGACGAATGTTTTCACGTTCAACCATTTACGGCGAAGAAGCACAACTGTATAACAGTGAGGGAGAGATGCGGCGATGGTTTCCAAAATCAGTTAGCACAAATGGCATCTGGGTTGGTTTATAAAAAGTTTTCTCGAGTCAAACCTTCTTTCCTTACCATTTGAGCAATTTTGATTTTCGTTTTTATGTTTTAGTTAGCGTTGTTCTCGCCAAATGATGTTGCTTTAGATCCTATTGGTCTCTGTCAAGCATTAGGAAGGCGTGGTAGAGATCATGGTAAGCTTCCGTATAAATTAATTATACGCTTACTCGTTTGACACTTTAAAATCTCAGATTTATTCCGTAGAAATGAATCTTATAAGTCTATTTTAGATGCGTTATTTCAATACTAAATCCAGTTTATTTTTTAGGAGTACAAATATTCGAACAGTGTTTTGTTGAAGAAGTACTTGTTGATAAAGAACAAAAAGTAGTAGGAGTACTTACCAATCAAGGACAATTTGAAACTGGATGCTATGTTGATGCTACTGGAATTGTGAGTTCCTTTTGAAGTTATCCGTGTTTTCTTCAAAGCAGTTAGGAGTTAATTTGATTTTTTAAGTAAAAACGAATCAAGTTTGATTTTTGTGACTTTTCAAATTCAAAATCTTCGAATTCTACTTTAGGTGTCTGGATTTGATTTATATCTTCACATAATGTATTACAGTGGTGTGGTACTTCCCGAGTTAGTAAACTGCCAGCCGGCCATGTGATTATCGCTGCTCATCCTGCGACATATACATACCTGTCAACGAAGCGATTGCCCGATAAAGATATTAAGAGCAGTACGCCAAGTAAGATGCTTAATTTGTATATTGCTTCTAGATATAGCGTTAATTAAAAATATTTAAATTTATTTTTTTTTTATAATTTATGTGTTATTTAGTTTTTACTCACGTGGATGAGAAAAATTATTTGTTTATGGATGAATCGCGGACGCTGTGTGCAGGTTTTACTCAAGATGATTTCCGTTCATTGAGTCGTCAGAGAATACTAGGGAAGTGGACAGTGCCATCACCAGACTGGGATAAATTTTGTAAGTCACAAAAATAAAAACCGGAATATTTTCCAATCTCAAAAATATTTATAATACTATTTGCTTTTAATTAGAAATAAATATATTATATTTAGAATTTTATAGATCCAACGCTGAATAATTTATTGAATCGTTGCAACATTCTTGGTGAGACAGAATGTGGTGAACTGGTTTGTAACGCTGAATCATATACTGTCGATAAAAATCCCGTAATTGGTGAAATAGCTCAGGTTTTTTTATTTTTGAAATGTCGAATTTTGAAAAAGTGACCGTTTGAATTCCTAAAACAAATACTCTTTGTGTTAAAAATTTGAAAATTGTAAATTCATCTATTGTTCAGATTCAAGGATACTATGTTGCAACAGGTTTCAATGGACAAGGATTGGCACTTGCTGGTGGCGCTGGAAATCTGGTTGCTGGATTAGTCTGTGGTGAGACATTGCCGGTTGACATTACACGTCTAGAAGTAACGCGATTTATTGATTTGCACGCGAGTCCGCAATATCTAATTGAGCGAGTTCCTGAAGTAGCAGGTATCATTTAATATTCCGTTTTACCTTGAAAGAATTTGAATTATTCATTATTAAATTATTTTAGCCAAATTGTTTACAAATTCGTACGAATATCATCAATATCAAACTGCTCGGAATTTGCGTACATCCCCTATCTATCATCAACTTAAAAAAGCTGGAGCTGTATTTGGTGAAGTAATGGGATATGAGAGGCCATTGTGGTATACAGAAGAAGATGCAGAAGGTTGCTTTTTGTCAAGAAAATTTTTATTTCCAGAAAGCATAAGCAATTGAGTGTGGTTTATTCACTCAGAATTTATGCGTAAGATTACTCTCTAAGTACACTACTTTTGTTTCTGAGCTTGTGTACAAAATAGTTTTTGTGATGTGAAATAGTTCTCTAAGTGAATAAAACTAAAGAATTTCTTATTCTTATGTTTAAAATAGTTTGTTCAAGTGAATTTTTTCAGATACATCATTAAGTTTCTACAGTGGACAGTTCTCGCTGATTGGTAGACCAGAATGGTTTGAACTTGTAGCTCGTGAATATGATGCGTGTAGAGAACGTGTTGGAGTAATTGACCTGTCCAGTTTTGCCAAATTCAACATTGAAGTACGTTCGGTGGACACTCTGTCTTCATATTTTCAGATACACTTTCTATCCAGTTAACTATTCTTGAATCATCTGATTACTTCCTCATATCTAAAATCAAAATTTTAATGATATTTTTTAATTACAATTTCGCCGTGTTTTATTGTTATTTGTCTATTGTTTTTATTTTAGGGTCCTAATGTGGTGGAATTTTTGCAATACCTTTGTTCAGGAAATGTTAATGTTCCAGTAGGTTCTATAGTTTACACTGGCATGCAAAACGAACAGGGCGGTTTTGTCTCAGACTGTGCAATATGCAGATTGGAAGAAGACCAGTGCGTTTTTTAAGCATATTTTCGTAGACATTATTGAAATAGAAATGTACATTCTGATTACTTTGTTCTTGTTTATTTTGAGTGTCTGGCAGTTAACGAATACTTTGCAGATTCTTTGCTATTGTGCCTCCCGTACAGCAGCTACGATTCTGTTTATGGTTAAAAAAGTGGGTGAAGAAATTGGGATATAAAATTTACGTTGGAGTTAGCAGTTATTTTTTTTTTTGCATTCTGCCTTAAAGTATCGTTTGAATTTAAAATTCGCAACTCTGTAAAAGTCCAGAAGCTACAAAAAGTCATTTTTTTTAGTTCGGCTTTCTGGTTAAAGTTCAAGTCTATCTATATATTCAGAAATGGAAATGCATCTTTTTAGGATGTTACGGGGCATTATACTGTGTTAGATGTCGTTGGACCAAGCTCACGAGCTTTAATGGAAAAACTTACAGGAGAATCGATGTCCAGATGTGATTTCCCGTCTTTTTCTATACGAGTATATTTATTTGAAATAGATTTTAATGTAAGAACAAATGGCAAGGAACAGAAAAAAATGAGAAAAAAGTTTAATCTTTATTATTTTGATAGTTCCTTTTTGACTTCTCAACCAGTTTGCGTATTTTTAGATGTTATCTTCTGCAAGCAATAGTGAAAACCTGGTTTTTATTTTGGTTTTCAGGAAATAGCTATAGGAATGGCTACTGGAATCCGAGCATTAAGTTTGACGCATACCGGGGAACTTGAATGGGAAATGTATATCCCAAATGAGGTGAATGATATAATTTTTTCTCATCTTTTTAAATCACACAAGTGTTTGTTTCTTAGGTTCATGAAGAGAGCTTACTTGATGCTTAAATGAATTGTTTTTATGTTCATTTTTTATTACTTATTTGTTTTGTTGGCTTAGTAAACTATCTTTATATCACGAAAAAAAAAATTAGGGTTTTTTAGAATGTTTTTTTATTAAAAAACTTAAAGTTTTGGAAGCATTTTTCAGATTTTTATTACTTTAAATATAAGAAAATATTTTTCAGGTAGTACAAAATGTTTATGAACGTTTGATGGAACGTGGAAAAGAATATGGTGTTATGCATGCAGGGTTGGTTTTCGATATCTTTGTTTAATAACTGTTCGCAGTTTATTGTTTCTTACTGATTGTGTTTAGGTATTATGCTTTGAGGCAGTTGCGTATCGAAAAATTCTTTGTTTGTTGGGGTCAAGATATTTCTACGGATGTGACACCACTCGAGTGTGGACGTACATATCGTGTTGATTTTCATGTATGTTTAATCTAAAATGTTGGAATGTTTTACATTTCTATGAAAATTATTCAGTCCCAGAAAAGCCATGTTTTTCAAAAAAAAAAAAAAAATTCTCCGAAATTGGATTTTATTCCAGAAGAATTTTATTGGGAAAGACGCATTGTTGGAGCAAAAAAGAAACGGCATTCGGAAACGATTTGTTCAGCTACTCGTGGGTAATCATGATTTAGATCATGATCCATGGCCACAGGGTGGTGAATTAATTTACAGATATGGCGAGCCAGTTGGACGTACAACGTCAGCTGCTTATGGCTATACTCTTAATTGTCAGGTAACCTTCCATTAGTTAGTTATACACATTCGTTACAAACAATTTTCGATGATTATTTAAATGTAGAGGACGAATTTTTATTTCTTTGTTTGCTCGAATGTAGTTATAAAATTTGTAAAGTTGCAAAATTGTCTTTTTGTTAGGTATGCATTGGTTATATTGAAACTAAGGAGAAAATGACGATTGAATACATTAAAAATGGGAGCTATCAGTTGGATATAGCGGGAAAATTTTTTCCTGTACAAGTAAATTTATTCACGCCAAGCTTACCTATGATTTCTTCCGAACAACCTGATCATTATCGACCAACTCAAGATGGTGGTTGTTCTTTGTGAAGCCTGTATCCTTTCCTTATTTATTTACTTGTATTCTGTTATTTAAATTTTATTTTGCATCTAATTATTATATTTCTGCACAAAAAAACGTTGCATTTTTTTAATCTGAAAATTCTTTAATTGTGCTTAATTTATGCTCTTCCCGGTTTCACTGTACAGTTGTTTTCATCTTTATATTCCTTTCATTAGTATTTTCAATAAAAGAAAAATTGCCCAATCAAATTTTAGAATATAAAGATGAAACCATTCAATTTGTAGTCCTTATGCACGAAACAGGTATTTAGGGTGCTTTATCAAGCACACTTCTCCAATTAAACTTTGTAGTGCTTTAATTGTTTCTAATGTCACTATGCATTTTCTTGACTATATTAATTTGTAGAGAAATTTGTAGCATACTAATATTATAAATTGCACGGAGAAATCTTTGCTCCAGTCATTCAATATGCACTCACTCTATTCTACAATTCTATTTGTTTTCATTTCAAAGAGGGATTTAAACCAATTGAAGCACGGAAATTATAGACCGGAAATTTCTTTCCCAGTATCTGGCTGCCATTGATTTCCTCCTTCAGAAATTTGTGATAAGTTCTAAGGTTTCTTATCCAATCAGTGTAATAGGTAGGTTCTATCATTAATGTTGCGGTGTAATTCATTTTAGTATCTGCATTAATGTGCATAATTAAAGTATCAACTTTAGGAGCCATGAAGTCTAGATAGTTGAAATAAAGCATATCAGATATTATTGAACACAACATTTGTTTGATTAAAATGTGCTTCGAATTTTTATTCCCGGATCTTCTATTATTGTTTCAGATACACAACCAGATACAAAGGAATAATTTCACATTTAGCACTCGTTCATAATGCATAATTTGCTAAATCCGAATTCTTAATAAATTTACGTTGGTAATGAAATAAATGCCTACTGTGGACCTTGAGCATTTGCTTCTGCAGGATTTGCTTCATTCAATTGTGTTAGTTCGATCTTTTCACGAACCAGTGCTTCTGGATCACGTTTTGCTTGTTTTGGAAGGAGTCGTTCCGGATGTCGACTCATTTTATGATATAAATTTTGCAAAGCTAAATTACCCAAACGTTGTTTTGCTTTGCATTCAGTAATAATATCCGGCTTATCACCTACATCCCAACGAGTATGCAAAAAAATTTGCAAATTAGAGAGTTCATTTTGAAAAAGAGAGCAACAATTATAGCTACAATTGCAGCTGTAATAATAGGAAATAGAAACATAGCAGCAAACCATCCAAGCACAGCCCATTTAGAATCATAACTCATCTCACCAACTTCATCGATAAACATAACCATTCGACGTTTAGTTTCAACCATTAAACGACCAGCTTTTACTAATCTATTTGTAATACTAAGAAATGCATCCGTGATATTATCAATTGTATCCGAACGGGCATTATCAATATCCAAAAATAGATTTCTATCTGCTAACCATTGTTCTTCTCTTGTCTTCTTATTCAAATCTTTCGTCGCTTTCACATATATATTATTTGATGATAATAATAAATAGTAAAGGAGAAATATGATGAAACTAATAGGTACATTACAGGACATTATATCAAATAATTCACCTCAGTATCACTTAATGTAAAATAAAGTAAATTAATGAAATGCTAATCATTACACTAGAATTTCTATTTTATAACATAAATGTAATTTACATAATTCTATTAAAAAAATTTAAATATTCGTTCATACAGAAATTTGAGTGTTACAATTTATCAGCCATAAAATAATTGTTTGAAGAGAACAAAGTATTAATAGAAGAATAAACATATATAAAAAAGTGTTTCTTCATTTTAATTAGAAATGCGACTAATTAAAATCAATAATCCATTCAAGTCTTTTTGGACAAACAAAAAATTAAATTGGAAATACTTGGCTCTCATATCAAATCAGATAAATTACTTTAATTAGGTTTGTACTCAATTTGCGAGATAAATTCATGCCTATGCGTAGGGTTTTGCGAACGTTCCGTGGCTAATTTTGCACGTTTTAGGGACGTGAACGGATATGAGAGAAATTGTGCTGTTTCAGTTTAAGCTAATTACCTTTATTTCAGGCATTTGTTAGCTTCAGTAATACTTGGACGTGGGCACGAGTTCGTTACGATCCCGGATCACGTACACACGTGATACCCTAACTCGCTGCCTGCGTCATTCGTTCGTCTCACCAGTTACCCGTCAATCCCAACGTCTTTCTTTTTGGTGCGTTTTTTCAGGGTGCACTGAAAAAGAAAACAAGAGTCTAAAGATATTTCTGGATCTTAAGACTTGCTGTACTTAATGTTGATGTGTTTCGATTCAGTGCTTTAACTATTTTCATTTTAGAAAATTATCAAGTTCTCGTGTCGTTATTTTTAATTCCTCAAAAGAATATTATTACTTTTAATAATTAAGTGAAACTATAGATATTTCGATGAAAGCTAGAAGAACCATGCTTAAATCCATTTCAAGAGATTTATTTAGTATCAGCGTGCAGTTGTGTCCATTGCTTGGTGACATGCATTGATATGTTGAAAAGTTATGACGAATTTGAACAGAATTTGTAACAGATATTTCTCTCAAATGCTAATAAAGTTTGGTAGATTGATGTAGATATGCTCATATAATTACGATCTATCAAATCTTATAATCATTTTAGTAAGCAGCAAACGTTGAACAATCATTTAAAAAGAGATAAAAGTAGAAGAATTTGGTCAACATTTGTTTACTGGAGTGTGTTCTCATGTGCTGAAATCATTTAATTGCTATGGCTAGTCCAAGGACGCGACGTGTTATTCAAGACATTCGAGTTGTTCCTGGAAATAACGTTAGGTTTTTTTAAGTTTTTAGGAGTAAAAAGTCTGTTCAGTTCTTGCTGTTTAGTTTTGAATCAGTTTTATTTGTCGTTAATGTATGTTATTTTATTAGATCTGCTTTGAATGTGGCGCTAGTAATCCTCAATGGGCCAGTGTAACGTATGGGATTTGGTTATGTTTGGACTGTTCTGGTTTGCATCGTGGTTTAGGTGTACACGTTAGGTTGTTTTTGCTCATACTTTTTTGTTTTTATTTGTGTTTTCTGCTCGAAAATAATTTTGTCTTATTTATTTATGTTTAAAATTTATTTAAACCTCTTGTATTGATAGTCGTATGGTAATATAAACAAAAATATCTTTGTTTTAGTTTTGTGCGATCCACAACAATGGATAAGTGGAAGGATAATGAGCTGAGCAAAATGAAAGTCGGAGGCAATACAAAAGCACTGGAATTTTTAAAAAGTCAATCAGATTATCGATCAAACTGGTCTCTTCGAGAAAAATATAATTCAAGAGCTGCTGCTCTTTTAAGAGATAAGGCATGATTTTTAACTATTTATCACACCAAGTTAAATAAACATTCGAAAATATACTTTCACAGAAACTTTAATCTTCCTATTTTCAGGTGTTAACAGAATCAGAAGGCCGTGAATGGTCAGCTGAAACGTCACCAGCGAAAAATTATACTCCGAACAATTCGTTAAATCCATCCCATTCCCAAATCAGTGGAAACAGCAGTTCAAATAGTTTATCATCTTATTATGGAGGAAACACAACTCAGATTGGAAATGATTCATATCATTCTGATTATAATAATTCGTACTTGCTTATTTTCTTATTTTAAATTGATTTATATCTTTGCATCTTTAAGATTTACCATTTCCTGTAGATCTACATTATTGTCCCTACTTCACTGCAGCTACATTGCAGTTCAAACTATATTTCTTTCTGTGATTGAGTTTTCTGATGATCTTAAAGGCACTTACGTTCTAGTTGTGTATTTCTTACGATTTTTTATTCTCGAAAAAATAATTTTATTAAAAATTTTAGTGGAAGTCGCTATCAAGGTTTTGGCAACGTATTGATGAATAATACTGATTCATCCAATGAATTGCTGTCTGGTGCTTTGTCATCTCTTTCTGTAGTAAGTTTTAATAACTTATTACAATTCATTTTATTTACCGCTTAAAAAATTTGCGGAATTTGGGATTAGATATTGCAGATAAATAATTTTCAACTATTTTTTTTAGGGTTGGAATATGCTAAGTAAGGGGGCTGCAACCGCTGCTATGTATGCCAAAGATATCAGCTCACAAGCAACAGCTAAAGCTACCGAACTCAGTGGAAGCGTTAGTAATCTAATCCTGCTAAATTTTTATGAATTTAAGCAAAACTACCATACGAGGAATTTTCATATAACTTAAGTGTGATCTAAATTATCTTATTTAATGTTACCGGAATTTAGGTTCGAGATGGGGCATTATTAAATAAACCAGCTTTGGGAAATTTAGCGCAGAAAGCCACCGAAATAGGGTCCAGATCATGGGTGGGAATATCAAATTTTATCAAAAGTCCATCTCTACAAGGTTTCGTTGTACCAGGAAAAAGGTTAGCAGTTATTATTGTTCTTTATCCTAAAAATTATTTGCTGTGTAAAAATTTTTACTTTCAGAAAACTTTTACTATCGATGAACAGTTATGACGTTTTTTGTAATCATTAAATAACACAAGGGTTTAGATTTTTGCGTAGAAACCAAGTCACTGAGACTTCATTTCATTTTTAGCGATTATGAAGACTTAGCTACACCAGAAAATCAAGAGAGTAGATTATTTGAGGAGCAATCAAGCAATTACCAAACATGCAAGTGAGTACTTTTTATTTTATAACAAAGCTCGCGAATATGAGGTTACACGAAAATTATTTATGCATCTCATAATAGTCACCTCATAATCATCAGAATATATTTGAAGTATTTTAGAAATAATTCAGTTCAATGTAACTCTCCAAAACCTTCAGTCTTATCTGATTTTCTCAATTACGGTTAGTCATTCTCCTAATTTTTCTTTCTTTATAAAAGGTATGAACATTTTGCATTCCGTAAAGTGTTGTTTTGCACACCAGTCCCGTAAAGCTTTCAAAAGTAAATCAGATAACTCAGAATAAAACGATAGGTAAACAGAGTAATCTATTTTAAGCCATGTTTTTAAATGTGTCAAGTAGATTCTTAGAAGTTATCTTTTCTCATGGATTGCTTACATTGCTATATTTGGTAATCCCATGTATAGGCAGTTCAGTTCAATTAAATTCGGCAACAGATCTGAAACAATCTAGCAACAAAACATCAACAAGAGCGAAAAGAGAAGTTTGTATTCCTATTTTTGCAAAACTTCATTAAATGAAAAGTATTAATGCTGGCCATTATTTCTCTTATAAAAAATTACTGGTGGTCATTGTTTATCGTATTAATGGTTATTTAATTTTATATTTTCCCATAATAACACTCATTCTAGAAAACGCCCCCACTAATTGATTTCTCTTTGGATGATAATAAAATGGCTCGCGTGCAGGAAAATCCAACCACAATAGGCAGCAAGAAAGCAGAGTCAAAAAAGGATTGGGACGATGATGCATGGGAATTGTTAAATCAATAAATTGATTTTTGAAAGTGATTCCAGAACTGTTTAAAAAGATTTCCAGAGGAAGGAAAAATCTCTTATTTAAACAAAAACAGTTACATAATTTTACGGAAACGAGTACTTTATGCAGTTTTGAACAATCTATAAGTATGACATTCTTTTGAGATTGCAGAAACATGGATGTGAATTTTATTTACTTTTCAAACATTTTAGATAAATATTTCTTTTTGTTTCCTGAACTTCTCTCCCTCTTCCCCTTCCCTCACTCCCCCTCTTCTCCCCTCCTTCCCCCCTCTGCCCTCTCTTAAAAAAAAATACTGTGGAATCGTTTCATATCAGTATGTATGCTTATTATTTATTTAGAAGCCCTTTTTTAAATGATCAGTTTAGTACTTATTGGAATTGGAACAAAGAGGTTCACTTTTCAGTATTTGTATTTATTATATTTTTATTACAATATTCTTGAGTGGGGTTAACGAAATGCTTCCGTACGATATGTAGTTGAGCAGTAACTGGAAGTTAGGGCTACAAATCGGTCGATAATTCTTTTAATTTATTATTTCAATTATGTCAAATGTTTCTAGCTTATATGTTGTAAATGAATGATTTCCTGGCTTAATTTTTTTGCATGCTTTGCATCCTATTTTTAATTTCGATATTTTAGCATTCTTCATATTATTCTTTTTTCCTAAATTTTTAAAATTTTTCTATAATACGAAATACTGTAGATTCATGTCATTCTTCATGGGAAGGAAAAAAGAAATTCATGAAAAATTATGAATGAAATGTTTCTGTTTTTTCACATTACACGTGCGTTGGTTTCTTTCTCGTTTATCTGTGATGTGTGTTGTCGGTTCTTTGGTCATAGCTGGTCATTTTGCTGGTCATTTGATGTATTCTGTACTGATTCTTTCTAAATGATAAAGATCATCTATTTGCTGACTTTATTGTTATCACACTGGCAAAGAATTCAGAATCCTTTACAGTTAGACATATTCGTATTTATTTTTAAGTATTCGTTATTTTATGTTGACGTGTTCGATCTTTTCGGTCAGTGTCGCATTCAGATTGACGTGTTGCACTGTGACTACGTCGTTGACTTCTTAAACGTTTTTCTG